AAACAGGAGAATGGTCGGACTCTGATTCGAGTGGCTGGCCGGATGCCGGAGAGACAGTAGATTATGTGATTACGGTGAGCAATACCGGCACGGTGACGTTGAAGACCGTTAAGGTGACCGACACGAGCGGCAACGTCAACTGCGGTGCTGTCAGCCAGCCTTTGACATCATTGGGTGTAGGAGATTCGGTCACCTGCACGGCGTCTCGACAGGTGTGTGCGGACGCGTGTCTGTATGCATATGTGCGCGGTTGATCCATGTGAGTAGCCTAGCCAGCACCCGGCTGACTCGCCAAACATGTTTAATCGTGCGCACATGTGCCTGGTCTCGCTACTACTACTAAGAGGGCCCATGTACGCCAGCGTGTTAATCTTTGTGTCTTGTGTTCTGGCTGTGGTACGGTAAAGAATATTGGATATTTGGCGTAGCGTGTCAACAACATTTATTTGGGGGTGTGATCGGTGCGCGTTTCGAAGTGCCGGTGACTGAACCAAGGAAGGTCGATCATGCAAGAGTGCAGGTGTGTCGTGAGTCCGTCCATCGTCCCAAGGGGTGCTGCAGAAGCTTTGTCACGAATCACACCGAGCTGTGTGTCGTACACGAAACTTGAAGGTCCCACAAGCCTCTCACATATTCCTTCGACTTGCCCTTGTTGATGTCCTGTCACACCCGTGTGTATGTTCCTAACCGCAGATCACACAAGCAGATATCAATGCTGGGACCGTCTCCAACACCGCGTCGGTCACATCCACGGCCGCGGTTGGAACACCCGACGACCAAAGTAGCACGTGGTCACAACCGCTGGCGCAAAACCCATTCATCGAGATAGGTGAGATACGATTGGCAACTGCTTCGTTGTCGGTGCCGTGTGCCTGAGATCGTGCACAAGCAAAGTACACGAGTACGTTGGCATCGCGAGTGGACACAGGTCATTTCAGAAATGATTCCGTGTGTTGCCTCAGAACACTGGATAGACAAAAGCTTGGTGCATGAGGTGCGTGCGATGACGGTGCACGTCGTGAGTCCGAAGACGTCAAGAGCTTTTGGAACCAATCGTCGACTGGTATGCATTGTTCGAGCCTTACGCTTGATCGTCTGAGTGTGGGTTGTTCAGTCCCACATTCTTGTGCATCTCCCGCATGCAAACAAATGACTTGCTCGCCAATTTCGGCGTTCGCTGCACTGGAATGAACAGTCGGTCAGGGTACATGGGAGGACCAACCTAACACGCCTACGGTCGACTACTCGGATCAGTCGGAGATCATCAGCTACGTTTTCACGGTAAGGGGGGTGGTTGATGACACAGGCTAACCATTGGCGTCGGTGAAAGCGATGAGAGGCAGGGTGGAGTGAATCGTCTGGGCGTGATCGGGGCTGCCAGTCTCGTGAATATCTGCTGTACCAGCCGTCGATGTAGACTTCAGACAACGATACCCCCACGGTGTATTAGGAGCACTGTGACCCTCGGAAGATATTCTCCGCAGAATGATTTCTCGGTCGTTGATTTCTCGCGTGCAGCTGCTTAGAATCCTCGTTGTTTCCCGCCACCACACAACGTACCTCGGAATAGGTGCGGAACATCGGAAACGTTGATCTGACGGGGATCACTGTGTGGGACGCGACGATAGAAGACGACTGTGGCGTGGTTGCCGGGCTTGGAGCAGGGGTACAATACACATGCACAGGGAGCTACTCATTGACGTGGGCGGACATCAACAGTGGCTCGAAGCTGACCAGCGCTACGTGAGTCGATCTCGTGTGGCGTCGATGGGGCTGGGTTTAGTCAAAGTAGAAGGCGGGTCATATGTGTGCAGAGGCACGTTGGCGAAAACCTCGAGACAGTAGAGGTTTCATACAGGAAACCAACAGTAAGTATACCCCGCCCTTCATGTCGCCCAGACTGAACCAATGGCCTTCGACATGGTCGGCCTGCCAAGTGTGCGGTTGGGGCGTGGTCATGTGAAACGACTTCGCCGGTAGGATACTCGGAAGGCACGATGAATGGAAACGAGTCGGCAAGGTCGATACCTTCGGCGGCGTTGTCATCATTCCAGTGTGTGCTGACCTGGATCGCATCGGTTGTGTGCCGGGCGTTCGCCGTATGCAACCGCCGACAGGGTCACCGCGACGGCCCCTGGTACCACCGAGCCTGCCACCGACTCAGAAGATATCGAAGTGGAGCTCAAGCCTCCGCCGTCCATCTCGCTAGGTACCAGTCGGGGACGTTCGGTCATGATTGGCTCGATGTTGACTGCCATAGAATGACCGATGTTCACGATAGCGTAATATTTGGTATATCAAACACTACATGGACACATGTCGGACCGTCTGCATGCTCGACGCGCTGACATGGTCCTACGGATCTCTTGACGCATGGCGTATGGTTTGCTGCCCTTGATGCCTCTAACTGTCTTCGGCCTCTCGATGTTCTGCGTTTCAACACCTGAAGCCATGACTGGGTTGTTCATGGATGATTCGGCGTCGGAGCCTCAAGATGGCTATGCTGCGGTCGGCGAAACCATCAAGTGAGACCCGCGTCATTATTGGTGGCAATTTAGGATCCGGGGCGGTCGGAATCTGGGAGTTGACATCGCAGATGAAGTTGGAGTATGTGAGGAAACGGGCATTGTCGAGTTGTCAAGGTGGCCGACATTCGTCGATGACGAACATTCATGAACACCAATCACGCTCGATGCTGTGTCTGTGGTGGTCGTTCATTCCTCCGCTACGCCAGGTATACTCTGGCAATCACGAACAACGGGCACGCCGTGCTGAACGACGTCACTGTCCGCGATCCATCGCTGGTCTCAGGTAACCAGTGTCCCGTTGCTGTGTTGAGGAAGGCACTTTTTGATTGTTGTGTGACATCCTTCATCTCCACGGTATGGCGTTCGTCCCTACACCCATGGCAGTGGCGGCTCCTCTGGTTGCTGTCATGCGCGGTCACAAGAGTATCCTATCCTCGCTCTAGGCAGACTCTCCTCGCTGCCATCACGATGCATGTCAACTCCGTCAGGCCTATCCGTCCCGCAAAAACCTCGGGGCTCGGTCCGGTGCAACACACCTGCGTGGTGCCATTCCGTTCCATGGCAGGCGGTCAGTCGACCCTGGTCTGTACCGAGGCCTACGCCGTTGAAGGAGACAGCGTGGTATTGGCGTCTTCGCTGGCCTTGGACGCCGAGGTGACGTGCACCGGATTTCATGCGGTCACGGCCGCCGATGTGAACAACCTTGAGCGGGACAGCTCGGCATTCGTGACGGCGGTGGACGGGTACATGAGGGAGATACAGGATGAGAGAACAGTGACCGTGGGGCTGGACCAGGTGATGCTTCGGTGGCGTTCGACGGTTTGTTTTCGTCGACGTGCACACGCACGTACATGTATGGCCTAGCCTCTCGTTACAGCAGCGTGAATATATTGCTCGAGGTCACGACAGGAAGCAGCATGTGCGGACACTTCGCTCGGATGGCTGGTTGATTTCCCTGTCGTGAGCTGTGGTCGTGCGGTACGTTGCAGGCCGCCCACTCAACGTAACTCAACCGTGATCCCGCACGTGTTCCATGCATCCCGGTACTGTGCGCTCTTCGGCCATCTTCGTCAGGTCGGCTCTGTCCAACTCCGTCTCGAATCGACCTACGCCAACAAGGACAAGAACGCCACCACAGCCGACGAGGTCAAGTACGTCTACACCATCGAGAACAACGGCCTGCTGACTCTATACAACATCGCGGTCCAGGCGGAGGGTCTAGTGGATATTGTCTGCGTCAACACCGACGGCGATAGTGTGTCTGGGTCGAGCCCCGGGAGAGTCGAGGATCTCGCCGGCTATCCCAGCGATGGCTTAGCTCCCGCCGGGTCTCTCATATGCAGTGCCACGGGCAGAGTGTCTCAGGCAGAGGTGATGTACCACACCCTTAAGGAATAGCCACGTCGGTGCATGACCTCGCGATATAGGGTGTCGACGAAGTTTGGTATTGCTGAAAAACCTATTGCTTGATGCCTTAGCGATTGTCTTTTCCTTCGTCTCTTGGTTTGTTGTGGCCATTCTGGTCTGACACGGCTTGCGCGCACACACCGAATGCAGATCAACGCTGGAGTGAAGAAGGATACTGTAACGGCATTCGCTTACCACGAGGATACCGCCGACCACCTGGAGAGCGATGCCATCAAGAGTGAGCCCGCCGCGTCGACGATCAACCTGAACCAGGTACGTGAGCTCTCTCTCACAGGTGGGGCAGCGTTCGTGGGACATCGCGAGAACGTGTTGGGCACTATCGGCATCCCTCGTCGCTGTTGTTGTGGTCCGTTCTGCGTAGCTGCAACATGTGGGGCGTCCGGGTAGGTGACTGCATATACTGGGGAGTCGAATATTTTGTCCCCCCATCCTGCTCATCCATCCTGTGATGTCGAAGTTGTACCGCTCCTGTGTGCTTATCAACCCGCTTGAAGCCAAGCCTCGTGTCTCCTAGACAGCCAGCCTATGGTCTAAACAAAGTGT